CTTTTATATCTGGCGAGAGACTTTACGCAACATATTGGCCACTGAAGCACCGAACACTATCGATGCGAACTTACCGCATTATCATCTTCATGGTCTGGACACTTGCTTTCCTTATTGCCACTGTCTGGACTACGTTGAATCTCTTTATTTCAACCCAAGATGCTATATATCTCTTGGCGATATACGCCTTACTTCTAATATTCATAATATGTGGCTGTAACATCGTCATTTGGAGAAAGTTTCAAAGTGGAAGAGTCGCTTCAAAACAACAAAGCAGAACCTCGCAAAAGAAACGCTTAACAAAGACCTTATTGTTTGTTTCTATTCTTGCTTTGCTTTCGTGGCTTCCGTTAACTATCATGCACTATGTAATCTTTGTCTTTCAAGTCCAGATAGCGTGGAAATTTTATTTTCCGGTGGCTGTTTTAGCTTATTCCAGCTCGTTTGTTAATCCAGTTGTGTACGCATTACGAATTCCTGAGTTTAGAGAAGCCCTGGTTTTGTGCTGCTCAAGAAGGCCAGTGGCGCCAGCGCCATCGCATTTATCAAAGGAAGAAATTGAAAAGACACTTGCTTTGATGCCGGCAACACAGCGGAGAACATTTCCAAGAAGAAACAATTACCTGCAACTGGTGTTTGAACAAGAAGTCAAGGATACCAAGCAGTGAAAAATTCTGTCCCTTAAAGCTTGTACTCTCCATTGAATTGTAAAATAAAGGACTTCTTTTTTTTTTTTGTAAAGGAGCACTGTAAAAAAAATCTCATTCTCATATCAGATACCGCTGTCTAAAGAATATAATGTTTTGCAGAAGCGATCAAGACAAAGCTGAATGCACGGATTTCGACTCTAGACCCCATTTGTGCACCGCCCTTAACCAGAACTAAAACAAAAGAAACTTAAACTCTATAAAATACTATTTAACTTAATGCTAAAAGGTTTTAACTGAAGGCAAAAAGTATTTCTTAAAATGTTTTGCGGAATTTCCTAACCGATAATTATTCCGCTGAATACAAACATAATTTTGCGGTTGGTCAAAATAACGAGATTAAGAAAGAAAATTTAAGGGTTCTTGTGAATGGTATAGTAAACACATCCACAAGTATTTAAACCGAATTTGTAAGGAAAAACAATAAAATAACGGTACGTCCAAAGTATGTTCTCAAATCGTTTCCGCGCGTCTAGTCACCGTCAGACACTCACTCTTGTTTTCATTTTGCCGACGATTCTCGAGTGTTCGTCCCTGCATCTTCAATACACTTGCCGAATTCATTATAGACTGGTACTGAGTGTTTCTTTCAGCATACAGATCTGAATTTGAAGCTTTGCGACAAATTTATCATCGCTGTTGGTGGTTGTTGTATGTCACAGCCAAAGAAAATGATAAAAGAGTTTCTTTGCTTCCACTATTCTTCATTTACCAATTTTCATGTCCATTTCCGAATTTCATGGAGCTACCTAAGTACGTTTTCTTTTTCTTTGAGTGAAACAAATATAGTGTTCAGTCAGCTTGCAGCTGGTTGAGTTAATGATTAATAAAGGAACATTGCAGGAATCACTTTTCCTGAAAAACCGAGACTTTTTTATTCCAAATCCGCATTACGTTGTGCTCAGTGTTATATAGTTATCAACTTCCTGCATAATGCTTTGGGAAAATTTATTCTACAGTTTTATTTAAGACAAAGAACTATTTACAAACGTTTGATAAAACCTTCAGTTCATTATAAACTTTGACGCTAACCCCACTTGGAGTATATTTTAAGCTGTATAGGCAGAAATACAAACTATTCAACATTTAGCACTTTGCTCTTAAAAATCCTTCGGATGAAAGTGTTATCCATCGTAGAACTTATAACAAAAAATAGCAGATGATTCAGTCCGTTGATCAACAGTAAAATATGAGGAAGATGAAATAAGCTTCAGGACAAATGACGCATCTTAATCACATATTATAACGATGCACACTTACACTGTCGATAACCAACTCCAAATATAGCTGAGACCAAATTCCCGTTACTTAAAAGAACTCTTCTGTGGTTATCTGTCGAACAGTTTCGAGTTTTATCAAACGAGCTGTAAATGAGCTCTAATTCGATCGCTTAAATATAAAAAAGCGAGATGAACGAGGTCCCTCTAGGGATTAGTGTTTTTTGAGAATACTCAGACAACAAAATGTAGTTTTTCGTTCGTGACACTTAACTTAGCCTTCGTTCAAATGTGTACTATTTTCATTTATTCACGCAGAAAATTGACGCCAGGGAGGCGCCTTTGCTCATTAGGTTCTAGTATCCAGCTCTTCTCCATAATTCGGGGAATGTGCCCTAATTGGTTGATCCACAGTAAGCATTGCTAAAAGCCCTCTCTGACTGGCTGTCAACACGAGATGCTTGAAACAATTCTTGCGGTGTTAAACGAGCATGAAGTCACATGCGGTCAAAAAGCCGGGCTCTTATCTCTCGCTAGCGGGAAAAGAACATGGGATTGCAACCTACTTTGTGTTCTCTCAGTAAGTGAAATGGCAATATCGTGCAATCGGCCGTGCATCAAACATTTTATGGCGATACGTAGCACCAATAAAAGATGTAGACAATGTTATCCACTGCCTCAGTGTTACAAATGTTTGAGGGAAAATTCAGGTATTAGAAAAGAAGCATTGTATTTTTCACATTCGCAAACAGCATGAGCTTAGTATTTTGTGAGCGTCGTTTGTCTTTTTCAAACATTGTTTATCTGAATGTTACCCACGTTTAATAAAACCACAGTAAACACGCTGCACTTCAAACATCGTATTTGTCGCCGAACAAACTCGTACATCGATTTCATTTCGTTTTTTTCGTTTCTTTTCGTGTAGACTGTCCCGGTTGTAAGTACTCTACGCCACGTGTCACAGGTCACGAACTTCACGTTTATCATGTGATCACTGATGAGATATACTGTACATGTAAATAAGCAGTAGTGGGCCTCATGCAATAGCAGTATCCATGTAAT